CGGCAGGAGGAGCAGGGGCTGCAGGAGGAGCAGGGGCTGCAGGAGGAGCAGGGGCTGCAGGAGGAGCAGGGGCTGCAGGAGGAGCAGGGGCTGCAGGAGCTGGTGCTGCCCGGCGCTGGGCGCAGGCGGCTCCTCCGTCAGTGCTGAGCCTCTTGTCATTTGTCATCAGGAAAAAAATAATACTCCTAAAAGTGTGTTTCCCCCCGCCCCCCTACTCCGATCTGCGGGTTTCCATGGCGATGCTGTTCCACAGGGATGGTACGGGGGATTGGCACTTCCTCAGTTTGGGAGATGGGGTGCGGTGCTGACATCCGGAGCCGGGACAGCACTGGCTGCCGGGACCCCGCTGGCTTGTACCCCACCCAAAACACCGGGGACAGAGCACACCCACTGGAAAGGATAAGGACGCTCCAGCATCCTAGTGGTGTTCCCAGGGCTCTGCACGCACCCCCTGCCCACGCTGCACACAGATTCCCCCAGCTCCTCCTCGCTGACCCTCACTAGTGTCCTGCTTGCCCCCAGCTCTGCTGACCCGGCTGGTGAATCAGACAGCAGCCTCCTGTGGGGGGTGCTGGGTCAGGGCAGCACCTCACCCATCCCACCCCGCTGGGAACCCAAACCACAGCCACCCTTGCTCGGGTGCCAGAGCCTCGCCTGCTGCTGCTGCCTGCTGCTCCAAAGAGCTTTTAAAGACATAATCTTCTGTTAATAACCAGAGTTTATGCCAAATGCGGCTCAGCCCTGGGTTTGCACTTTGCAAACAAAACCCGAGTTTTCGGCTGGTTGGGGGGGCTGGAGCAGCTCCCACGGGGGGGGAGGGAAGGAGGGGGGGGAATGGGGAGCAGCGTCACCCAGGGGTCCCTGCCCAGCCCTGGGAGAACAACATGCCACCCACAGCCTCATCCTGCAAACCACGGGGACCTGCTTCCTGCAGCTCTGGCACCACCAGGTGCCTCGGGGAAAGGTGGGTGTGAAATCACACCGGAACACACATATTTTTACGGCTCCCCAGCAGGTTGGCTGGTGTTTTTAGGGCAGCACTTTGAGGCCACCTGGAGTGTCACCCGCAGCCTCGGGCACCCAGATGGGAACATGGGGCACCGAGTGCAGCACTTTAGGCAAAAGGTGGGAATAATATTTAGTCAAGTGTGGCCACGGCTCTGGCCCTGCTGGGCTCTATTGGTGCAGGTCACCAAGTGACAGCAGCTCCCCCACATCCTGGCTCCAGGTCTCACTTGTCCAAGCCCCCTTCATTCCCACCCCCACACCATGGCAGGGACAAGCCTGAGCTGCATCCTGACCACCCCCCCCCAAGCTTCACCGGGCACAGAGAGCTTGTGGCTTCCTCTCTGCTCTTCAGGAAATTAAACTTTTATAAGCAGAAAGGTTTCTGGGCTCTCAGCTCCCCAGTGCAGGAACCGCAGCCCAGCCTGTGCCCGCACCCTGTCCTGCTGCCTGCTCCTCTGCAGGGAGGAACAGGGCTGGACACCCCATCGATGGGCTGAGCCATGGCAGGGACAGAGATGTGGCTGCCCATGACCTTGGTGTCATCCTTGAGCTGGAAATCTCCTTCTCCTGTGTTGCCAGTAGCACACTCCTGCCTGCAGCCCCCTCTGGCAAGGCACACAGTGCTGGCCCCACCAACACCCCCACCCAGCCTGGAGCTGCACCCCACGCTGTCACCCACTGCCACACTGATGAGGTCCTGGTGCCCAAAATCCACCCCCATTCCCACTGGGGGTGTCTGGTGCCTCTGTGGCTGGATCTCATGGGATGCAGGAGGCCAAAAATGCTCCCAGGCATTGCCCCACTGCCCTGGCCACGTCACTTCTGCCTGTCCTGCTGCGAACCTCCGGCAACAAACCGCCTGTCCTCATGTA